CGAGTGCGCCGGCTTGGGCGGGAGATGCAGCCATCTCTGGGGTGGGGCAGAGGCTGTTTATACAGGACCCCTCACCCGGCCCTGAGATGCGGTTGCCTCTGGAGGGGAGCGTAGGGGGCTGCTTAACAGTTTGAGACAGGAAGTGTATGAACCACACATTTTAGGGCGGGTAGTTTTGGTCTGGACTCAGAACTTTACTTCACTTCCTGTTCATTTTGGGGGGACTCCATAGAGAACTTGTGGTGAGATGGGGGGATCTCCCCGGCAGTCAGGGCTGGCCCCCTGGCAGCAATAGGGGTGCTGTGCTGCAGGAGGTGGGGGACCCCCAGCCAGGGCTGGCCCCCCGGTAGCAGTAGCGGCGCTGTGATGCAAGAGGTGGGGAACCCCCAGTCAGGGGTGGCCCCGATTCCCCAGTGTGGTAGTAGGGGGCGCTGTATCACAGGGAGGGGTGTGGGGGTGCTCTCCCCTCCCCCCCACTTACCCCCTTTTCATCTCCCCAGGAGAACGCTAAGAACTGCCTCTCATGGGAAGGCCTGGAAGCCTCCAGCAGCGATGACGACGGGGAGACCACCGCCCCCACCTCTCTGCCCCCCTTGCGCCCACCCCAGCCCCTGGCACCAAACCTGCTGGCTCCCCACTTCGCCACCAAATCGCTGCCTCTGGAGAACATCATTGTCCCCTTCCGCCCGGGGCCTGCCACCGCCCCGGGGACCCAGGCGTTCGGGGCCTACCAGTGCCAGGAGTGCTGCCAGGTCTTTGTGGAGGAGTGGCACTATCTCCAGCACGCCCAGGAGCACGCCCAGGAGCTGGCCCGGCGGCCCCGGGCGGCCCTGCCCCACTCCCTGCCCCGGAGGAAGCAGCGCTGCCCGGACTGCGGAAAGAGATTCTCCCACCAGCCTCGCTTCACCAGGCACGTTAAGTGGCACCTCAAGCTGGCGCAGGCGGGCATCCGGGTGCAGCGGAGACGGGGGGCCCGGCCTTGCTCCCTCACCTCCTACGTCTACCAGCCGCCGGGCGCCGGGAAGAACCAGGCGGGTTTTGGGGACGTCCCCTGCCCGCCAGCCAGCTGGGAGGGTTCGCCCGGCCTCAGGAAACAGCAGGGTGGGGCCCACCCCGGGAGGCGTGTGGGGCAGACGAAGGGGCGTCAGATGCCTGAGGCCCGGACAGCGAGCAAGGAGCAGGGCACAGAAGGGACCAAAGGGACCCGGCCGCGTAGACCGACTCTGGGCCGGGAGTTCAGCCTGCCTAGGCCAGTTGGCATGAGTCTTACCCAGCCAATGAACATGGAGGACGAGGGGCGGGCGGCCATCTTGGACAGCAAAGTTGTCATGAGTCCGCCACAGCCAATGAATGGCCAGGTTGGCGGGAGCGTGCTTCAGGCAGCCATCTTGGACAGCCAAATTGGTGGGAGCACGTTTCAGGCAGCCATCTTGGATGGCCAGGTTGGTGGGAGCGCTCTCAGGACACTGGTCATCAATACTGAGGAGCAGGCGGCCATCTTGGATGGCCAGATTGATGGGAGCCCTCTCAGGACGCTGGTCATCAATTCTGAGGAGCAAGCGGCCATCTTGGAGAGCCTGGTTGCTGGGAGTCCCCCACCACCAGCGCACCTCAAGGAGGAGGCGGCCATCTTGGCTAGCCTGGTAGGTGCCAGCCCTCTCCACTCTTTCCGGACCGTGGTGGTGGGAGCTGAGGAGCCGGCGGCCATCTTGGAAGGCCAAGTTGGCGTGAGTCCCCTCCACCCCATGCCCCTGCGGGCTGAGGAGCTCCCGCCTTCGTTGTTCCTGGAAGCCGAGCCCGGCCTCAGCACAGCGGTGGATGCGATGACCCTCCGCCTGGTCCCGTTGCTCCCTGACCCCCAGGGGCTTGTCCCGTGGGGCAGCCAGATGGTGGGGGAGCTTCCCGACGAGGCCGGAGACTCTCAGCCCACGGCTTTCCAGCTCACGGGCTACCTCCCGCCGCTCAACCAACAGTGCCGACCCCCAGGCCCGCTCAAACTTCCCCCCTCTCCGCGGGCCCCCTTGCTCCTCCACCTGGTGCCCACCCACCCTGGCGAGCTGCCCCAGGTGCTGGAGCTGGAGTACGCACCGGGCGGTGGGCTGTCAGAGGAGCCCTGGCCGGGGGGCGTGGCACCAGAGGCCGGGGACGACTTTATCGTGGTGGAGCTGGAGGCGGATGCCGGCGGGCGGGAGGAGGTGGTGGTCGGCCAGCCTGGCACTGCGGGGCCTGAGAGCTCCTTGGACGCCAGTGGGCGCCGGCACTTCTGGTGCCCGGACTGCGGGGTGCGCTACGGCCGGGCGGCCCAACTCCGCTCCCACCGCCGGGGGCTGGGGCGCTGGCTGTGCGGCTGCGGCCGGCCCTTCCGTGGCCTCCTCCACCTCCTGCGGCACCAGCTGTGGCAGCTGGAGGGCGCCGCCTTCCTCTGCGCCGCCTGTGGGGAGGCGCTGAAGGGGCGCCTGGCACTGGGCCGCCATGGGGGGCGGCACCCTGGCGCCCCCTGCTTCCGCTGCCCCTGTGGGGCGGGCTTCCAGCGCCTGCCCCGCTACCTCTGGCACCGGATCCAGAACCAGCCGCCTGGCCTGGGCGTCTACAGCCTGGACAGCTTCCTCACCCCGGCCTGAACGGGGCCGCACGGGGCCTGTGCCCTCCAGGGGGTGCCAGCTCCTACCCAGCCTCCTGGCAGGGACTGGCTGGCTCCGGGGGGCAGGGAATGGGGCACGGGGCCTCTCCTCTCTAGGGGGCGCTGGCTCCCATCCTGGGTCTGGCTGGCACTGAGTGACCTGATTCTTGTTCTAATTAGATTGTTCCTAATTAAAGAGCTAAAGTGCAGCAGTCGTCACGACCTTTTCTCCCCCACCCTTGGTGGGCACTGGCGATTTCTTGGGGTGCCCCCCCACCCAACCCCATGCTGAAATTGTGGCAGCAGAGGGGTTGAGGGGCTTCTCAGACTCCCTGAAGCTGGTCCCCCAGCCAGCCCCTCATCTTTTCCAGCACCCCACAGGCCTCCCTTCTCCTTAGGGGTGCCAGGCCGAGCTCCGCCAAGCAAGGAGCGGACCCAGAAGTCCGGGAGAGCCCCTAGGGTTGGGGGAAGGAAACAGGGCACTGGGAGTAGAAAAGGGGGTGTCCCTGGGATTGGGGGGCCTTGGCGAGATCTAGGTGAAAGGGGCTGTGAATGGCGAGGGGAGCTGGCATAGTGGGGAGCAGGATGCAGGGGGAGGGGGATAATGGGGAGGAGGAGCTGAAATTGAAGGGTCCTAGTGGGTGGACTGGCAGGAGTAGGGGGTGACCAATGGGGAAGGGGCTGCAGGGGCCCTTTATGGGGTGACGGGCTGGTGTGAGGAAGGGGGCTGCTGAGGGGGGGATTTTTGGACCCAGGGCAGCCGAGCTCAGAAGTAAGGAAGAGAGGCCGAGGCGGGCACGTGGGCAAACGGCTCTTTTATTTCCAATGCAGCAGCTCTGTCTGTAACCATCAGACCGACGGGAGCTAGCGCGCCAGGCGCTGTACAGCAGCACGGCTTGGTATCCAGGGTCCCATGTGCCAGGCGCTGTACAGCAACACGGCTGGGCATCCGGCACCCCGGGATGTCAGGCACTGTACAGCAGCCCGGCTGGGCATTCGGGGGACTGTAGGGGTGCCCCCAGCCCTTCCCCCTCCCGCACACCAGGCACTGGACAAACCCCAACCCCAAAGCTGGTCCCTGCACCGAAGGGCTGACTGTCAGCTGCGAAATACCCCCCGCCACCCTAGTGGGGTAATTCACACCCTTGATCTAACCCTGCTGGGGCTATCATAGAATCTCAGGGTTGGAAGGGACCTCAGGAGGTCATCTAGTCCAACTCCCTGCTCAAAGCAGGACCAATCCCCAACTAAATCATCCCAGCCAGGGCTTTGTCAAGTCGGGCCTTGAAAACCTCTAAGGAAGGAGATTCCACCACCTCCCTAGGGAACCCATTCCAGTGCTTCACCCCCCTCTAGTGAAATAGTGTTTCCTAATATCCAACCTTGACCTCCCCCACTGCAACTTGAGACCATTGCTCCTTGTCATGGGGACCCTGTTATTTTAGGGGATTCCAGTCCCCTCCCACACACACACTTCTGGTTCCCATTTTTGCCTAAGATGTTCCCAACTCTAAGCCCAAATGGCTAGACAGGCACCCTTTGCCCGGCGCTGAGATGCAGTCACCTCTGGGGTGGGGCACAGGGGCTGTTTATGCAGGGACCCCTCGGTGCTGAGATGCAGCCACTTCCGGGGGTTTAGGACAGTGCGTGAGGGAGAACTGAAAATGCAGCGGGGAGTTTAGGGAAGCAGAAGGGAATCACGGGAGCGGGGCTTTGTCCAGGATGCCTGGATCCACGCCCTGAGTCTGGGGTGGGAGTGGGAACCAGGAGGGCCCTAGTGCCCACAAGGGGCTGAGGCCTCGAGTTTGCCTCTTGGCTGAAACGTGCAAGGCACTGGTGTCCCTTGCATTAAACCCCAGGCTCAAGGGGCCATTCCTGCCCTGGCTATTTCGTGGTGCTCCAGGCTGGGCAGCAACAAGAACCGGCCTTGGGCGTGCCTGGTGCTGTACGCACGGCCATTTGCCCCGGGTGAGGGTCGTGCCCTCCATGGTCTGCCTCCTGGGCACTTGGTGCGAGCGTGCACAACCTTGTCTGAAGAGGGGAACCACTCTCTTTCACACAAAGCATGGGCCTGCGGCGTGGATCGTTCCCCAGTGGGGATCCCCTCAAGGAAGGCGCGTGCCCTCCGTGTTTCACCCAACAGCGGCCGTGACTCTAACCAGCCCCCATCGGGTGTGTGACCCTCTTGCACTTTGGAGCTGGGGTGAGCACAGGCAACCTGCGGTACCGCCCTGCGGCCACCAGGTGGCGCTGTTGTCCACCCATTCCCAGCCCCCCAAGTGGTGTCTCCTTCAGACAGGGGGCTGAGTCCCTGCAGGCCCCTATGGGGCAGGCGCCCCCTGGACCAGTGTCTGGGCTCCAACGCCGGGTCAACCCCTCCTCACCGGCCTGCGGAGCAGGGAGAAACGGAGCCCTTCATGTGGTGATGGGGGGCGGGTGTGGGGAAGGGGGCAGCTGAACGGGGGGGGAGATTTTTGGACCCAGGGCAGCCGAACTCAGAAGTAAAGAAGAGAGGCAGAGGCGGGCACATGGGCAAACGGCTCTTTTATTTCCAATGCAGCAGC